TGTGTGTTGAGATCACTGGGTAAACACTATAGTACATGAATAGTTCTATTCTGACTGTGCAACAGCGCATTTATCACATTCTTCGGTAAATCTAATTCAATGAACATAATCATCTTGAAACTCTTGATTTTTCCACATGTTCACGCCATAATGTTCTCGCAAGTTAGGCGCGGATCCACGGGGGGTGGAGGAAATCCCCCCTAATTTTTCAGTAGTACAGCAGTACTTTTCTGCCAGTATTTCCACGCAAAATTACCCGAAAAGTACTAACATTTTTGAAAAATTGTTTATGACCTTATTTTAAAATCTATCTTTAAGGAACAGATTTCATTAGGGGAAAATTGTTTATCTTTAATATTTTAGTTGTAGAAAGATTTCCAAAAAATTGTGAACTTTTGCAATATTAAAAAAATGCCATGCCCTCCCCTAAAGGCCTAGAGAAAAAGTTAAAATGGTAAAAGTGCAGGAAAAATGAAAAACAATAGCAAAAATGTAGAAATATCTAAAATGTATCGAAAAAATAACTGTGTGTTCAGTACTTAGCCATTTAGTTAAAGGGAATACTGATCTTCGCTGTATTTTAGCCCAGCGGTGCGTGTGGGAAATTTTTAAGAATTTTATTAAGGCGTTTTATTTGCATAATAATAAGATTCAATAATAATAAAATATTGTTTGGAGTGCTTGGCGGTAATATTCGCGAGATATCTTTCAGATTTCTGAGCCGACTTCAATTAAATAATAATTAATACGTTGGTGTTAATAAATTGATAAAGTCATAATTTCTCTCCATATCTTAAGTATTACAGTTTTGTTTCTTAAGCATACTAGACAGAATCACCTAAAGAGGCGTTTTGTTTCTTGCTCATGTCTCTGCTCACCCCCCCCCCCCACACACACACACACACTTACTCTGTGCAGCGCGAAAAGCATCCAGTATGTGAGACGCATAATGCATACTCAAACAAACTAGTTGTTAAAAACTTTTCTGATTGAATTTTTGCAATGTATGAAAAGATAACAGGGGTGTTATATATAAATGGCTTATATCACCACCTTTACCTCTATCTATAATAAATGGGAAATTTTCTTTCTTTTTGCGAATTAAAATTTTAGTATTATGACATGATTTTAGGCATGAAACGTTTTAATTCGTAAGTAAATAATGTTTAAAACCACAAAGTGTTTTATAATACTGAACTAATGTTCACCAATTTATTAATGTATATTATTTGCTCAGCATAATAAAAAGGATTGTTTGCTTAATTATTATTATATTTCTTCTCAAAATACAGAAACAAGTAAATATTTTATATACAAATTTGAAGATCCATGAAATGAAATGTCTAAATATAATTCTTTTAAATTTGTCCCAAGATTGAGGGGGCAGTTGCCCTCCCTGAATTCTGCCTCTGGTAGGTATTGAAATTACCCATGAAGACATTAATGTTTAATGATATCTTCTCACTCCATATAAAAGTTTGTGCAACTTTAAGAAAACCAACTAAGAATTACTGAAGGTAATACTTGAGGGAGTCATGGTCTGCCCCTCAAAAGACCTAGAATTTTCATTTACCTTCCTTTATTTGGCAAAATTGATTAAAATATTAATTTATGTCTGAATTATGTAATTGTTTAAACAATAATATTGTATAGAGTCATATCTACAGTACATAAATAATATACAATATAATAACAACTATGTTTATTATTTAATAAAAATCTATGATGACCACCTTCAAAATGATTGGCTGGATCTGTCCCTGGTACTGAAAGATTATTTAAACTTATAAAAATCACATTAGGTGCGGAAAAGGTTGATAAAATTAAGAATCTGTGCACAATAAATACACAAGACACAGTAGGTTGCATGAAGAGATAATAATTAGTAGAACAATATTTTGTTACATACAGAATTGAAAACTCCAATTTAATACTCTTTTATAAAATTTATTTCTTGAATGAAAGATACAATTCCAAGTGAATTTCTCAGTTCATAACAATACTGAAATCTACAAGGGATGATATATTATTATTCTGTACTTCACATGTCAAAGGAAGAATCTTAGAAATTGATACAAGTATATAGTAAAACAAATTCACAAAATAAAAATAATTAGTTCGAGACAGGATTCTGGTTGATGATTGTTTCAGGAGACTGATTTCAAACACAGCTTTGTGTTCTATGAAATAAATCTTTTTCACTGT